AGGAAGAGTAAAGGGTGTATTGGCAAGAGAATCTGATCTAGTCTAGAAGGATCAGGGAAGGCCTACCTGAGCAAGTATCTTTCAGTTGAGATGCGATGAATGAATAGGAGTTACCTAGCTAAGGGAAGTGGTAGAATTCTTACCTTCTGAGTTCATTTCCTGGACAATTTACCTCATGTGTAGCCACCACTCATCTATCAGTGGAGGCTTACATGTTGCTGTGATGCTGAAAATGTTTCAGCAGAGCTTCCTGACTAAGACAAATAGGAAGAAAGACCTGGTGATCTACTTCCAAAAATCAGCCAATGAAAAGTCTGTGGATCACAACAGTCTGATCCTGTTGTGCATGGGGTTGTCATGAGTCAGGGCCAACTCAAAGGCAGCTAATAACAAGAAAACAGCTGAGACTAAAAAAGAGAGAGAGAGAGAAGAACATTCCAGATAGAGGAAGAACATGTGTAAAGACCCAAGGCAGGAACAAGCATGGCACAGTCAAGAAACATAAAGTCACAAAGGGAAGAATGGGAACATATGATGCTGCAGTAGTTGTGAAGTAGAACGAGCCATGTTAAAAATGCCATGTTAAGATTTTTGGGCTAATCCTAAAAGTAATGGCAAGAGTGGCCTGATCAGACTGCTTATTATAAAATATTATTCAGGGTTCTGGGTAGAAAGTGGAGGGAAAGTAGAAGCAGAAGTACTAGGAAAGAAGTTTGATCCTAGTCCAGGTAAGAGATGATGGGTGAGTCTTACTTTGCTAAGGCCGCCATAACTAAATACCACAAAGTTGTGGCTTCAAAGAATAAAATTTATTGTCTCAAAGTTTCGGAAGCTAGAAGTCCAAATTCAGGTCATTGGCAGAGCTCTGCTTTCTCTGTGTTGACTTTAGTGGAAGAGTCTTCATGATCCTATTAAGCTTCTAGTAGCTGCTGGCAATCCTCGGTATTCCTGGGCTTGTAGATGCCTCTGCTTCTGTTGTCACATGGTGTCCATCTTCCTCCTGCGTGTGTGTCTCTCTATTTTCCCTTTTTATAAGAGACACTCAGAAGGGATTAAGTTTAGAACCCACCCTACTCCGGTATATCCTCATTCATATAACAAAAAAAAACCTAACCTGAACCAGGGTCACATTCACAGGTACAGGGCTTAGGACGTCAACATCCTTTTAGGGGACACAATTCAATCCGTAACAGGTGTCACAGGTTGAGCTCCCAGGGAAGCAAACTCTTCAATGGAGATCGGCAGGCAAGTGATGTATAATGGAGCTCTGTTGGGATCAACAACTGCAGATGGGAAAGGAAGAGCACAGGATTTGACAGAGGTGGACTCAGGTGATCCTAAAGATGCTCGTAAGTGAGACTGACCCCTCAGAGCTGGAGATGGGTGGGCTTTATATCCCCTTGATCAGTCACTTGATGAAGCCACACCAAGAAGAGGGGGGAGGTGTGCCCTCAGGTGACTTGGCCTTCTTCAATGGTGACAATCCCTGAAGGCAGCTGACAGCTGAGCATCTGGGAAAATGATGAAGGCAGTTCTCGGTTGCTCATAACAGCATCCACCATACAGAGGTTTGACCTAAGATAGTAGCAGTGAAGAAAGAGAGAGAATGGATGGGTATGAGAAATATTTTGTGGATAGAATTGACTGATAAATTATATAGAGAGGGAAAAGAGGAGAGAAGTATGAGGGATGATGGCCAGGTTTCTGACATGCGTAACTGAATAGATGTCTGTACCATATTTCTATATATATACATGCACTGATTAGATAGTTAGATAAGTGAATCTGTATGTCATAGAACAGGTATACCCTGGGAATAAAAATTTGGGATAATCAATGAATTAGTGATAATAAAAGCCACGAGCCCACAGGGAATCACCTTAGGAAAGAGTAAGCCATGAGAAGCTTGATGAAGCCTTGAGTAATGACATTAATTAAGGTCAGTTATGAAAACTACTTGACACATAATAAAAATGCAGTAAATCCTTGTTGCCATAATAATAATAACTAATTTTTATTAGCGATGAATATGGGCTTCCACAAAGGTGTGATCTATATGCCAGTCAATCCATAGTTGTAGGCAGCGGAACATAGGTGTATAGGAACATATCAAATCCTCACTTTTCATTTTTCTGCCACTTCTGTTCTGACACCAGCTGTACATGCAGCACTTCTGCTTCTGACCCAAACCACCTGGAGCTAGTTCAGACCTAACCAGTGAAAACACAGTCCTCCAGACTGCCAAGTCTGCCCAAGACCTCAGATGCTAGCCACAAGCTTGGGATTCCCCAGGTGTTCCTCATTTCTCATCTGCTGGTTTGAAATGTAGGGGGGTCCTTCTACTCCCTGAGGATGCTAGCTATAAGCTCTGGGATCCCCATCCCCCTAACTTCTGACCTGTTGGCTCCCACTACTCCTTTGGGTTTGAGAATTCTCTAGAATTATCAAAGAGACAAGGACCTTCCCCCAGAGCCCACAGAGAGAGAAAGCCTTCCTCTAGAGCCGGCACCCTGAATTCAGACGTCTAGCCTCCTAAACTGTGAGAAAATACATTTCTGTTTGTTAAAGCCACCCACTTGTAGTATTTATGTTATAGCAGCACAAGATGACTAAGACAGTAGTCATGGACAAGGACCAAATCCTTTGGGAAAAGTTAATTTTTAAACCCCACTTAGGAGTCTTCCACAGAAAACAGGAATAAACAACGGCTGCCACAGTTGATGATCTGAACACCAGCCCACCAAGCAAATTCTTTGGTGGAGACATCCTGCAGGAAGACAGCATCCTAGTCCCCTGTTTGTCTTTCACTCCTCACATGGGATCCTTAGAAATTCCATTGGCTTTACCTTCATAACCCGGCCAGAATCTGATCCGTTCTCACTACCTCCACATCATCTTTTGCCTGGGTTATTTTGAAAGCTTCCTAACTTGTTTTCCAGCTTCCCCACGCTTGCCTCCCTAAAATCTATCCTCTACTAAGAAGTGATAGTTAACTTTTGAAAGGATTGAAAAAAAAATCATGTCATTTCTTCACTTAAAACTCTCCAGTGGCTACCTATTGCATTCAGAGTAAAAGTTGAGCGCATGACAAAAGCTTGCAAGGCCATACAAGATCCGATGCTCCCACTTCCCACTGCTTCCTCACCCCGGCCTCATCTCCTCCCACTTCTTCCCTGCTCACTGTGCTCCACCCACGCAGGGCCCCTGGCTGTTCTACAGACATACTCTTGTCTTCAGCTGTCTGCACTTGCTGTTCCCTCTGCCTAGAACACCCTTTCTTCAGATAGCTACAGGGCTCACTCCCTCACCTCCTTCAGATCTTTGCACAATGTCACTTTAAGAGAAGAAGTCCTTAAATATTCTATGAACGTTTCAACACTCCCCTGCTATTTCTATACAATTCTGCTTTATTACTTTCTGACAGCCTCTATATTTGAAATATGCATTTTTTTATATTGTTTATTTCCCTCAGAATATAAACTCCATTAAGATAAGGCAGGGATTTTGTTTGGTTTGGTTTGGTTCACTGTTATATTTCTAAATTCTAAGAAAATGCTGGCTTATAGTAGAACTTTAATAAATATTTGTTGATTAAGTGAGTAAACGAAGAAAAGAATGAATATGTATAAAAACAGTTTCTAGCTCAGTTTTCTAGAAGATACCTTCCCCATACTATCTCCCTTTATGTACTTTCTAGACAAGGTTTGAATAGCTCAGAAAAACCAAACCAGTTGCCATCAAGTCAATTCCAACTTAGAGCGACCTGTAGGACAGAATAGTTCATAGAATATACAGAGTAGAACTGCCCCATAGGGTTTCCAGGGCTGTAATCTTAATGGCAGCAGACCGTCACATCTTTCTCCCACATAGTGGCTGGTGGTTTTCAACCGCCAACCTTTTGATTAGCAGCTGAGTACTTAACCACAGCACCACCAGGGCTTCTTGAATATCTCAGAGGAAACCTAAAACTAGCCCTGCTTTCTTCAAGTACTAGAAAGTGGACAAGGTATAAAGTCCATAAAGAGAAGTCTCTGAGGCCCTTTGAAGTTGACATTTAGCATTCCAGCTGAATGCAAGTGCTCCATACAGTCAGTGGGGGTGATGACTGGCTGAATATTGTGGAAGGTAGGGAAGAGCAAATTTAAATTATTTAGAAGATGGTACTGTTCTGGGTGATGCCAAAATCACTTTTAAAGGAAAAAAGATCAACTCATTTCTTTTGGATGTTATATACATAAAGAACCTGATTAACTCTTCCTCCTCACTTTTCTGATAGCTATTAATATTCATATATACATAAGCCTAGGGCGATATTGTCTATTGTTATTATATTGTATTACAATTTTATTCAGTGATGCTAGATTAGCACTTGTACATAGTCTCTGAAAAGTCACTTTTCGGGCTATGTCATGTCAGCGTGTGGCAGGGAAACTCTCATTCTGTACAATGAGACATACTCCCAAGTGTCACCCTTGATTATTAAGCTTTCTCTTAGTAGCTCTCAGGTTGCCCTGGAGAGGATGTCCGAAGAACACTGAAGTGGGCTGCCGAATGTTTGGAGTGCACTTTAAAAGCTTCTCTGGGAACTAAAGCTTTGTTATGGTTACAGAAACTCTTGTTTCGATTGTTGTTTGGAAAGATTTTGAGAGTCTAAACCACGTTGCTTGTGTCTTCTCTTTGCACTTTTCTGGTTTTGGTTACTTTTGTAAGAAGGGTCCGAGTCTGTATAATCCTGTTGTCACAGATGAAATAAAAAGAAGTCTCCACACCCCTGCTTCTGATCACTGTTAACAATTTCGAGCAATATTTTGCACAAGAGCAGGATATTGGCAACTCAACTGTTAAACCCGTCTGTGATTAGCCTTCTTGGAGATCACTCTGATGTCATCAGTGTAATTTGAGCCCGGAGCTTTTGCTCACACTTTAAATAGCAGTCCGGGCGTGATTTTGCTACAGACTCTCTGGAGCCCGGGAGCCCACTTCTGGAAGATCTCACATCGATGAAAGCAAAGCGCAGCCACCAAGACATTGTCATGTCCACGTCTCTAAGAGTAAGCCCGTCCATCAACGGCTACCACTTCGACACAGCTGCTCGTAAGAAAGCTGTGGGCAACATCTTTGAAAACATAGACCAAGAATCACTACAGAGGCTCTTCAAAAACTCTGGAGACAAGAAGGCAGAGGAGAGAGCTAAGATCATTTTTGCCATAGATCAAGATTTGGAGGAGAAAACTAGAGCCCTGATGGCCCTGAAGAAGCGGACGAAAGACAAGCTTTTCCAGTTTCTGAAACTGCGGAAATACTCCATCAAAGTTCACTGAGGACGGAGGAATGGATGAGAACGGACACTTAAAGGCCAAAAGGGAGTCTGTGAGACCCTGACACACGCAGCCCTTGGTTGCTGCCTTGCAAGCTTCTCTTCCATGAGGACTCAGGAGTCTGGAAAGGAACAGGACTAACTGGTTACAATGACTCAAACCAATTTCACGCACTGTGCTGTGACAGTGGAGAACAAAATGCTTTCGGCAAGAGTAGGAAACTCTCCCTGCTGGAAAGGACTGTTGCCGGCATCAAGGGAAGAGTCTGAGTCTGGACAGCTATGACAATTAAGGATAACAGATGGCTTGGGAAGAAGTGCCTCCAGGGTCACTTTGTCAGACCCTAAGACTTAAATTCAACCTGAACTTTTTTTTTTTTTTTTTAACCAAACTGGGTTGGGGGAGGGCGGAGGGAGAAGAATAGGGAAAGAGAATATATGCTCAAAATGTTTACTGAATTTTTCTACGTGAATGTTCTAAATGTCGCCAAGCCTCAATGTTGTCTATTGGTAGAGAGATCAGCAATTGATTATTTATTTGCATTTATTACAATGCCTGAGAAAGTGCACCATGTGGGTGTAGTACAAATTCAAGGAATTGCGATACCTTTAGCAGCTTGGTTAAACTATATGCCAACTTCTGGTTTGTAAAGACTTTTTATACATTTGAAACTGGTTGCACCAAAGTTAAAATAATGGGGTTCTTCAAAAATCCGAAGTACTGTGAAAAAAAATTTATAATACTTTTTATCTTCTGACTAATGCTAAAATATAATCTAATGAAAGTCCTCACAGTTATTGCATTAAGCATTAGGAAGTGAATATTATACACGAAATAGTTTATAAAGATGTTATGGTTTCTATAATTTATTATACATAGCAAGTGACATGCGACCATAATAAATTATTATAAACTTAGCTCTTCTTGGTGTGTGATGCTTGGTCTCAAAGGGAAAAAAAGAAATTAAATTTTGATGATTGTAACCTTTTCTAAGGATTTAACTCCTAAGAATTAAAGGCGCTTTTAGGTAGCTTTGCATGAATTACCAAACTCTTTTAAAACAAATCTTACATCAAATATTCAGGCAGTTTCTCTGTCCCAACTTTAAAATATAAGATGTAGACATGGAAATTCATAGATTGACTCATCAACACTGCATGTAGCCACCAAGGGTGAGTTTTAAAAAGTTTTTCTCCCCATAGTTTTGAAATCTGTCTTCTGCGATTACAGTAGATGTGTACATTTGTAGAAAACTCATTTTAGTCCAGCATATAGTGTTACTAAGCAAATATTTATTTCTCCCAAAACACTGTATTTCGAGGTTAAGAAATCTGAATTCTGATCATGATCCTGTGGGTTATCGATGTTTATTTAATGCAAACCAATATGAGAATAACACTACAGTTTTTTGTTTACATCCTCATAAAATTATAATGAAGCATTGCTAAGAAGGCATGCATCAATGCCTGCTATGCTTCCCAGCAGGAAGAAATATAAGTTCCCCAGAAATTAAGCCTGTCAGAGACACCAGCAAAGGTTTTTGAAACTGCCGATCATAGTAAAACAAAGCAAGTGAACTCTGTAAAATCTTTTGGGAGGGATACAGGTCAGGATTTTAAATTAATTTTTTTTTAAAAGAAATTAAGTGGCAAAATCCATTTGCAAATCTCAATTGGCTCTTCCTGGAGATAATATAAAATCATTTCTTTCAAAAGGAGTTCTTTACCTGAGAGCATCCAGGAAAACCAAGGAATCCCAGGTAGAATTTTGTGTGTGGGTCTGTGTGCATTTTTCTAGAAGGAATATTCAAAGCTTTTATTATATTTGCAAAGACATCCAGGCCACCAAAAAAAAAAAAAAAAGTTAAGAACAAAAAAGAGTGCTTTGATAGGGGTGATGGGATTTGGGGGTTGTCGAAGTGAAAACCCTAAAGAGTTCCTCGCTACTCCGTGACCTGATTTCCCTCTTCTTGAGAACTGAGCTTTGCTTGATGATCTCACCTGTAATCTTCTCTGTGAGGCTAAGAGTAAGCCTCCCCCTCCTCGTAGGGCCTCAGGTGACACATTTTATCTGTCCATTTAGAATCCCCAAAAGACATTGATAAAATTCCTGGGAAGGAAATGTAATAACTTGCTTTTCTAGAATACCCATTACAATCCATGCTTCCAATGAGAATTTTTAAAAATCTTTTCTATTCAAAGATTTCAGGCACATATTGGAAGCTGAACATAGTTCAAGGGCTGCATTTATTAGACATGCTGATGACTATTTACTCTGCCTCTACTGTTATCAGTAGGGTACAATGTGTATCTTGTCTTCTTTTCGCATTGGTGTTGTTATTTGTGCTGTGGAGTCAATTCCGACTCACAGTTACCCTGTGGGACAGAGTAGAACTGCCCCATAGGGTTTCCGAGGCTGAAATCTTTACGAGAACAGATTGCCAGGTCTTGTCTCATGTGGAGCCCCTACTGAGTTCAAACTACGGAGCTTTCAGTTAACAGCAGAGCACTTAATCATTGTGCCACCATGCTCCTTCTTTTCACTTTCAAAAATCCAAACCCATTGCCAATGAGTCGATTCTGACTCATAGCGACCCTATGGGACAGGGTAGAACTACCCTAAAGGGTTCCCAAAGTTGTAATCTTTATGCAAGCAGTCTGCCACATCTTTCTCCGGCAGAGCAGCTAGTGGGTTTGAACCATGGACCCTTCAGTTAGCAGCTGAGTGCTTAACCACTGGGCCACCAGGGCTCCTTCCCTTGTCACATTAGCATGTATTAAATTAGTTTTCTTGCAATATGTTATAATTAGTTTCTGATTTCAAAACTGTAACATGGGAAATAAATTAAAAAGCAGTTGGGATATGCACCACACAGCGTGGAGAATAATAATTCTTCCAGTAGATTATTACATAAACATGCTGTCTTTCTCCTTCATGGAGGACAAAAGTTGGAATCAGTATGATTGCACAAGGATAATTTTCAGCTTTTTTATTATTATTTAATGTGAGGTGAAAGTAAAAAATCATTAGAACTGGGACAACTAGTTCTGCTCAGAATTTCTTCTAAGGTACAGCGATGGCCACCTATATCTCAAAACATCTCATTGTAATAGAAGAAAAAAGCAAAGACAGGTGAAATAGCTCATTAATAATATTCGTGTGATTAGGTTTATAGTGATAATAATTAACTTTTACTGAGTGTTTACTATTTGCCAAATTTCTAAGTACTTTGTGTATACTAATCACTTAATTAGTTCTGTAATGTAAGAGTATGTGTGTGTATTCATGTGTACATGTATACATAGTAATGAAACTGAAGCACAGAGAGGTGAAGTAACTTGCCCAATGACACACAGCTAATGAGTCCAGGAATCAAATCCAGGAAGGTTCACTCCAGAGCCTTCATTCCTAGCCACTAATCATACTGCTTCTGTATGGAAAATCAAGCTCCTCTTTCTCCCTTTACAGGGAGAATTACTTATATGCTAGTAGTCAGAAAGACAGGATGGCATGGCCTCTGAGAAATCACCTTTATCAGATCTCTGTCTATTTATTTATTTGGCACTTGTACTACATGGAGAAAACGTCTTAGTTTAACAATTTAATTGTATCATGAGCTTCTCAGATGCAGTCTTTCA